CTGCTGCCAGCACAGGGCTGCAGGGAGCAGCAGCTGCTAGAGCAGGGGCGGGCAATTATTTTGGGTGGAGGGCCACTTACTGAGTTTTGGCAAGCCATTGATGGCCGCATGACAGGCAGCCCAGGGCAAATTAATATTCATTTTCTAAATTTTTAGGGACCCCCACAGGCTGGATAGAATGGCTTGGCGGGCCACATCTGGCCCGTGGGCCACATTTTGCCCACCCCTGAGCTAGAGGAGCTTTTCTGCCCCTGGTGAAGCTGTAGGCATTCTTCTGTCTGACTGTAATGCCCTGAGATGGGATGTGGTGGGAACAAAGTCCCTGCCCAGGCTGCATGGGAAGGGAATCCCACTCAGGAATTAGTGTGCCACGGCCTGCCTGGGTTTCACAGATTCATAGAAGTAGGCTTGGAAGACACCTAAGTAGATCTTCAAGTCCGACCCCCTGCCCTGGGCAAGAGAGAATACTGGGCTTCATATGACCCCAGCTAGGTAACTAGCTAGCTTCCTCTTAAAGACTCCCAGGGTAGGAGCCAGCACCACTTCCCTTGGAAGTTGGTTCCAGATCCTAGCCGCCCTTACTGTGAAGTAGTGCCTTCTAATGTCCAGTCTGAACCTAGTCTCAAACAGCTTATGGCCATTATTCCTTGTTACTCCGGGAGGTGCTCGGGGGAATGGTCTTTCCCATTCCCTGCTGGTCCCCCCAATAAGTTTATAGACAGCCACCAGGTCCCCTCTTAGCCTTCTCTTGTGAAGGCTGAGCAGGTTCAGGCCCCATAGCCTCTCCTCGTAGGGCCTGCCCTGCTGCACCCTGATCATGCAAGTGGCCCTCCTCTGGACCCTCTCGAAGCTGGCCACATCTCCTGAAATGCAGCATCCAGAACTGGACACAGTACGGCCTGCCCAGTGTCGCATAGAGGGGGAGGATCACCTCCTTGGCCCTGCTTGTGATGCATCTGTGGATGTGTGATAAAGTGCAGTTAGCCCTACTGACCGCATCCTCACATTCATGGCCCATGTTCATTTTGGAGTCAATAATGACTTCAAGATCTCTTTCTGCCACTGTGCTTTCGAGAAGGGAGTTCCCCAGCCTGTAGGTATGCTGCTGGTTCTTACTGCCCAAGTGCAGCACCCTGCACTTGTCAGTATTGAATCCCATCCTATTCTCATTCACCCACTACTGTAACCTGTCCAGGTCCAGCTGTATCCTGTCCCTCCCTTCTAGCATGCCCACCTCGCCCCAAATCTTGGTGTCATCAGCAAATTTGAACAGGGTGCTTTTCACCCCCTCGTCCAAGTCGCTAATAAAGAAATTGAACAGTGTGGGCCCGAGGACCGAGCCCTGGGAGACTCCACTGCCCACATCCCTCCAGGTCGAATATGACCCATCCACCACCACTCTCTGGGTGCGTCCCCTCAGCCAATTTGCGACCCATTTGACTGTAGGCATCAATGCCACAGTTGCTGAGCTTTTTAATGAGAATGGGGTGGGAGACAGTTTGTTCTTCCCACTGTGACAACGGCTTCTCCAAAACTTCTGTCTACTCCTGGCCCTAGTCTTGGAGAAATAGAGTCCCTACCCAGTGCCACTTCCCCTGAGAGACTCCCTAGTGTTGCCATTCTGCTCACATAGCAAAGCCTCTGCACACAAATGCTCGGCCCTTTGGCCCTATATGCTTTTCACTGTCCAGTTTGTTTTTCTCCAACGCATGGAGATGGACTACAGGGAATGAGCATAGGCTTTTGAGGTTCTCAGTACAATGCCTACCACACAGCTGCTTTGATCAGCTGTACCTGCTCCAGAGACAGCCAGGAGGAAGAGGCCCTAGCAGGACTGTTGGACTGGAGCCCACGGCTAGGAGAGCAAGGGGCTGCAGGTTAGGAGTGAGGTGCACTGGGAGACCTGGGAAGGAGTTTGTGCATCTGTTCCTGCCCTGTGCTATTAGTTCCTCAGTTTCAAGAGAACTAATTTCCCACTAAACTCATACTAGGCCTGAAGTGAACAGACCCCCCCAGCTGTTGTCAGACCCAGGAACACTCACTGTTATACCCAGAGTCCAACGCTGCAGGCTGAATTCACTGGTTTCTTCATAGGTTTTTCCTCTGCGGTGACTAGATATCTATTTGCTCTCTCAAATTCCTGTGAGTGAAGAGAAGAAGAGCAGGAGAGAAAAGGGAGGATGGGATAGTTAAGGCAGAGTAGGAGGGCAGTGAACGTGCACCCCAGAGTCAGAGCACTCCAACCCTGCTACTGCCCAGACAAGGGGAATAAGCTTGGCCTGCAGACGGGCCCTGCTGCTCTGTGAGAGGATGCTCTCACTGGCGTGTGTGGAAGCCAGCATGCGTGTGTGCATCTGGCATGTGTGTGGGGAAGGCAGGTGAGTCAGGGGGTCAGCACATGGGAATGGGCAGGGGAGCCAGGAGGACAGTCAGGGCCTGGCTGGAGATAGGGAGGCAGTGCAGAGTGGTGAGAAGTGCAATAAGGTGAGAGGCAGTGGGGGGGCCCGGGAAGAGTAGTGAATGGGTGAAGAGACCAGAAGTGTGCTGGATAGCACACTGGTGGGACTGGACAGGGCAGGGAGTAGTGGACAGTGCAGTACTGAGAGGAGCAGCAGGTAAGCAGGTGATGGGGGTGGGTATAGTAGTCAGGGAGTGTACAGGGACTGAGTGGCAGAGTAAGTTAGGGTGAGAAGGACAGCAGGGCATGGATGTTGTGTGAGGCAGTGAGCAGGTTGGGGGGCAGTATGTGGGACAGTAGAAAAAGTGAAAGCAGTGATGGGGTGGGGCAGCAGATGAGGGTGGGCAGGGTCGTGAGTAGGTCTGTGTACAGTGTCGAATGTTTGCCAGTCTTGTTACATGAAGCTGTTGTGGTGCTGTGGCGAGAACCCTGCTAGGGGCATGAGCATAGGGAGGCACCTGTGTACTCACTTGTATCCCCACAAGACATGAGCAGTAACTACATAGTGCTCCCCGCATCATTCCCGCCTTCTACCCTTGCTGCAGGAGGCTGTTCTGTCCAGGTGCCACCTTTTCTTTCTGCAGTTTTCACTATCCCTGCCCACCAGCTGGATTCGCCCAGGTACCTGGGCAGCAATGAGGTGATGTGGTCAGCACAGCAGGACAGCTGTGGAGCTATATAGGTCAATGTATTTGGGAAGCTGAGATATGATGTGAGCCAGCAGTGCAGGTGGCTACAAGATGGTGGGCACTGGTATGTGGGAGGCCAATATGCTGGGCGGCCATGGGATGGCACAAATCAGCGCACTGGGGTGGCAAGGCTGGTGTAGCAGAGCAGCTACGGAGCAGTGCATTGGGGCAGCTCAGCATCAGCATAGTGCATCAGAGTTGTTCTGCAAGACTCACCCTGTGGAATTCTCTCACCAGAATGATGTGAATTTCTTGCCAAAAGCAGACACCGCTGTGCAGTGGAAAGAAAAAAAAAGAGATGAGTTTGATAGTGTCTCTATAGCACCAGCATTGTCTGGCAATAGGGCATTGACTGCTGGAAGTATATGTGCCTGGCAGAGTCAGCTCCAGGTTATCCCTGCTTACAAGCTGCATCTGCCAAAGCTTGTATCTTGGAGCATCTGCTGGAGCCTGGCATATGCTAGCTTCTGGCTGTTCACAATGTAACCCTGACACCATGGTGGTAGCTAAAGTTGCATTTTATTGCCTTGTCTTTTTCTAGGAAAGCTATAATGGAACTAGAATATAAGAAACAAAAATTTAAAAAACCATGATTAAAATTAAAGTCCACCCTCACAGCCCCCCTGGCCCTTCTGGTGTCCCTCATTCCACCCCAACAGTCTCCCCAGCCCTGCTGGTACCCCTTACTCCCCCAACAGCCCTGCAGGTGCATGCACACACACCCCCCCCCC